TGTGTATATAATTTCTTCCACCAGATTGTAATAGCCAAGGGCAGAGTCAATGCCTAGCATAGGGCCTTGCATATAAGAGATACTCAAAATTATCAGACAATCTATTAACAGTAACAAGTAATATTTATTAAGCACCTTCTGTATGCAGATCACTGTTCTAGGTATTGGGGGAGATAATTAATTTAGATATGACACTGTCTTTGCCCTCAGGAGGCTTATCATCTAATAGGTGGGCAATAAGATAACAAAAACAGGTGTCTATAATAGACAATATTACATTAAGTGCACTGAGAAGTACCTAGGTATTATGTGAAGTCTGAAAGGGAAAGAGTGTTACCAGGACGCAGGCAGGGTCACAAATCAGATGTGTCTCCTTCAAAGGTGGAGTCAGAACTCACCACTTTCTGTACAAACTGGTCATGAATTGAGTCCTCCAGGAACAGGCGGCCTGCTGCAATGCAGTTTTCACCTTTATTGAAGAAAACCGAGCTCATGCCCTTTGGACAGAGGAGCAGGTATTAGATCACTGGGCAGATGGGAAGGCATTTCGCCTAGATCTTTATCTGCCTTCCGCTCTCTACCAAAGCAATGGATCCATTTTCCAGGGCCAACAAAGCACTTCATTGTGAAGGATGCATAATTGCTATTCTTTTCAAAAAATTGTGATCGATATCTTTTGTTCTTAGATCACCTTAAGCAGCGAGGGGATGCCAGAGTGCACAGAGTGCCAGGCTTGGAGTCAGGAATACTCATCTTCCCTCAGACACTTACCAGCTGTGTGACCCTAGGCAAGTCACTTAACCCTGTTTGCCTCAGTTTTCTCATCTGTAAAATGAGCTGGAGAAGGAAATGGCAACCACTCCAGTATCTTTGCCAAGAAAACTCCAAATGGGGTCATAAAGAGTCAGGAATGACGGAAAATGACTCAACAAAACTAAACCCTTACCCTGCCATTTTCTCAAAACCTCCATTCACCATGTTCACACTCTTCTTTTTCAGCTGAGTCTCTCTCATTAGCCAGTATCTACTGGCATTCCTGTCTGTACCATAAAGGACAGGAAACCAGCCATAAGAGTCTGACCAAGAACCTGTCTCAACTACTATATAACCCAGAACCTTGAACTACCTTAGTGAGACATCATGGTATGAAGGAGGCTGCAACCAGGCAACCTGCAGAGATGAGAAGTGCTGGGGAACTTGGCAAAGCTCAGTGAACCAAGTCTGAGGGCAGTCTTTCTGAGGGGCTATCCCTAACCGATTCTCTCCTTCTCCAGTCATAGGATTCCAGACTTACAGCCAGAAGAGACCTTGTCCTCATTTGGTATGACCCCCTCATTTTACTGATGAAAGAAATAGAACCAGATATATCAACCAATCTACCCAAAGGTGGTAAGTGACAGAGGGATGATTGGAACTCATATATCTGCTGACCTCAAAGCCAGTGCTTTTCCACTCTGACAACTTCAGGAGCCAATAAGTTTTCTGTTTTAAAAATAAGCTAAAAGTGACCACAAGCTGGTGGTCTACAATCTGGATAAAGTCAAGGTTGATCAATGCCAAGCCTCACATTAGGCATAAAGTAGAATGGGAGGGAGCAGGCTGAGGAAAAACAGGGAAACATGGTAGAGCATATTGGGAAGAACTGAGCCTGAGGTCACAAGACCTGAACTCAAGTCCTTAAGGCAGTGTGGTATAGTAGAAAGAGTAATACAGTCAGAGGATATGGGTTCAAACCCCCAGATCTGCCACCTCCTGCCGATGTGACCTTCGGCAATTCCTTGGGCTATAGTTCTTCATGGGCAAAATGAAGGGGTTCAGCTAGATGGCTTCTGAGGCACCTTTCAGCTCTAAATATATGCTCTTAGGGGCGGCTAGGTGGCAAGCACTGGCTCTGGAGTCAGGAGGACCTAAGTTCAAATTTAGCTTCAGATACTTACTAGCTGTGTGATCCTGAGCAAGTCACTTAAGCCCAATTGATTCTCTCTCTCTCTCTCATGTATGTATGTGTATGTATATATGTGTACACACATATATTTATGTGTGTGTATGTATACACATACATATTTCTATCTCTGCTGCTTAGTAGCTGTTCGGCCATAGACAAGTAATTGAATTTCTCTAAGTTTCAATTTCCTCATTTGTAAAATGGGAACAATAACACTCATACTACCTACTCCCACAGGGTTGCTAGAAAAAAACTGTGTGAAGTATTATAGTTACAGAAATTATTACAGAGTGTCCCAAATGTCTTAATGTAGTTTTAAGCTTTAATATTTTAAAACCTTGCAGTGAAAGTTTTGTGACACATTGTATTAATGCCTATTATTATTATTGTTCTTGGCTTGGTCTCAGTGTCTCCTTTGATACTGCTATATTTCTTACACTTGCTGTGTGACTCTGGGAAAATTACTTCATATCTCTCAGTGCCCTAAGCAACTCTATAAGACTATAAGTCACAGAGAAAGTGCCAACCTGCATTGGTTGGAGTTTTGTTACTTGGGAGTTCCCCATACCGATGAAATCACAGACCCAATCTCTAGCCTTATCCCTATCCCAATTTTAATTGTTATCAGTGGAAAGAACACTGGGCTTAGTATCAGGAGGGCTAGGATTAAGTCTGTCTTCACCATTTACTAGATGTGTGACCTTGGGCATCTCAATTTCTTTGAACCTTAGTTCTCTCATATGGAAAATGAGGACCAACACTTATCTGTCATAGGGCTGTGGTGAGAACTAATTAGAAAATGGATATTCAAGTACTTTGTAACTATACAGTTACAAAGATGTAACTGTAGTGCTAGGGAAGTGTAACCTGTTATTTTTAACATAGCCAGACCAATGCTTACTCAGCTTCCTCCTTTTCCCTCAAGCACTCTGTGAACAGGATCTCGGGGACTCTGGGAGCTGCCCCTCCCTCGTCCCTCTCTGTTAATGGCTGAGGTAGAGAAAAGAGGGCTGGGAAATTTCCCATGGGGGAAAATGGGACATAGAAAGTAACTGTCCTGAAATGCAATGGAGCTATGACCCTCTCTTTACTGGTGAGGTTCAGCTTCAGACCTCTGGGGGCTCTTCCAACCCTGAGATTCTAGGATTCCATTACTTTCATTTTCCCAATAAGGCCCAGGACTGGAAACCTCATTTCCTTTTTGCATTTTGGGAAGGAAGTATTTCTCCACAAAGGAATTGCTAGGCAGGCTGATTAACATTATTGGAGACAGATGTTGGACAAAGCTTGGACTCTAGTGAAAGCAGATCAGAACAGAGTGGCCTCTGTGAGGGAGGGGCTCATCACATTTCCTCCCATCAGCTTAAGCTGTCCTTCTATTCTACTTCTATGCCATCAACATGATAGCCTCTCTGGGCTTCAGTTTTTTCCATCTGTTTAAAAAAAAAAAAAGGAGTTGGGCTACATTAGTCCCTTTTGACATCTCTCCCAGCTGGAGATCTAGGACAGGGGTGGGGAACCTCATGATTTGGATTTAAGATCCTTTACTCAAAATCCAGGGTTCTTCCTACTATGCCATTTTGACCTTTGACCCTGAGATTCTGATTCTGTGACCTGGATTCTAATCCTGATTCTCCCATCACATGGCTGAATGACTTAAGGCAAGTTACTTTCCCTCTCTAGGCTTGTTTCTCCATACATAAAATGAAGGCATTAAACTGGATAATTTATCTTCCAGTTTCCTCATCTTAAAATGAACATAATAGTAGCACCTACTTCCTAGGGTTGTTGTGAGGATAAAGTGAGATAATATTTGTAAACCTTAAAGTGCTACATAAGTACTACTATTATTATTTATTGTTATTTATATTATTATTCTATCTTGGCATTCTGTAAACTTATCACCCACTCTACAGGATTTGCTGTTGCTGTTGAGTCATTTTTCAGTCGTATCTAACTCTTTCGTAACCCCATTTGGTGTTTTCTCGGCAAAGATAACGGAGTGGTTTGCCATTTCCTATTTCAGCTTATTTTACAGAGGAGGAAACTCAGGCAAACAGGTGACTTGCCCAGTCACCCAGTTAGTAAGTGCCTGAGGTCACATTTGAACTCAGGAAGATGAGTCTTTCTGACTCCAGGCCTGGCACTCTATCCACTGTGCCACCTACCATTTGGGATTTACACACCTCCAAAGACTGGGTTCAATTTGTCTGTTTCCAACCCAACCCCACAGAAACCCCACCTTTTCCATCCCTACCCTGGCCTCTGTCTAGAACACCCACACCTACCCCCGTTAGTCACAGAACCCGGAAGGATTACCATTTGGACGGCCTTGCTCAGATCACAGTCTGCAAAGATGATGAGGGGAGATTTTCCTCCCAGCTCCAGAGAAACTTTTTTGACATTACTTATGGCACAGCTAGAAGAAAAAAACACAGAAGAGTAAGCAGGGCTGGGCTGGATTCAAGTTCACTGGGAAATTTGGAAATCTTGCAAGTCAAACTGAGTCGAAGGTTAAGAATGCTGAGTCAGGGTCACTTTAGAAGGTGGATCTCGGCCCATGGATACAGGACCCTTAACACAGCTGTCTGTGTTGGATCAAAGTATTGCTGCTTTTGGCCAAGGCTTATAAAGCAAGGAATGGATAAGAAATTCAAACCACCATAAACACTGAAGGACCACAAAGCTGGACTGCTGGAGCATTCAGCCACTCCTGTACTGAACTACTCTGTATCTGCATTTATTCACTCTATTCGTTTGTTGCGTATATTTTTATATGTACTCATTGTCTCCTTGTTGTACACTTCTTCAGAGTAGGGATGGTTTCATTCTTTGTGTTTTGGTCCTTAGTACCTAGCACAGTGCTTAATAAATACTGGTTAATAGACACAGAGATAATGTTTGAGAGCAGTCCTAAGATGGATACATCATTAGAACTGATGTGTCTAAAGAGTAGCTTGAGCTCTGGGTTTTTGAACCAACCACTGAATATAGGGACATCTCTAGTAGAGTATCCTGGGATTCTCTTTGTGACCCTGTGTTATTGAATATTTTTTAATGGTGACTTGGATGAAGGAATGACTCATGCCCGTCAAATTTGCAGATGATGAGAAACTTGGTGGAATAGCTAACACATCGAGGGACAGAGTCAGGATCCAAAAAGATCTCACCCTTATTGGAGAGTGGGGGGAGGGTGGGGGAAGAGAGGAGGGAGCATACAAGCAAACAAAACATCTGGTGGCACAGTGGATAGAATGCTGGGAGTCAGGAAGATCAAATCCAGCCTCAGATACTTAATGGCTGTGTGATTCTGGGCAAGTCACAACTTCTATTTGCCTCAATTTCCTCAACTGTAAAATGGGGCACCTATCTCACATGGTTGTTCAAGGATCAAATGAGATATTTATGAAAAAAAAATGCTTAGCATGGTGCCTGGCATACAGTAGATGCTTATTCCTCCCCCCTCAGCTATTAGAACAATGGGACAAATTTAAGAAGATGAAATTTAATAGAGATAAAGGGAAACTTTACATTTCGGGTTCATAAAATCAAACGCATGAGTGTAAAATGAGGGAGAATTGGCAAGACTCAAAGAAGGATCTGGGGGTTTTTAGTGGACCACAAGCTCAGTATTTATGTTGTGAACAGGAAGTGGAAAAGAGAATAAGCATTTATTAAGCACCTACTATGTGTCAGACACTGTGCTAAGTGCTTTACAAATATCACTTCATTTGATCCTCCTGACAACCCTATGAGGCAGATGGTGTTATTATTCCCATTTTAACATTGAGGAAACCAAGGCAGAGGTTAAATGACTTGCCCAGGGTCACAACTAGTAAAGTGCTTGAGGCCAGATTTGAACTTGGGTCTTCCTGACTTTCTCCTGCCACTATCTCATTCTTCATCTCTGTCTTACATGCTAAAGTGACCTTACTTCTTACCAAGGCTTATTCCTCCACTTGACCCAGCAATACCCTTCCTTCCCATCTCCTCCAAAAGATTGCACCCTACTTCATTTATTTTCAATATCTTCCTCTCTACTGGCTCATTTTCTGCTGCCCACAAACATACCCACGTCTCCCCAGCTTAAAAAAAAAAACCAAAACACAACCCTCACTTGATCCCGCTCTTCCATAACTGTCATCCTGTATCTCTTCTGCCCTTTGTAGCTAAACTCCTCAAAAATGCCATCTACAACAGGGGCCTCCACTTTGTATCCTATCATTCTTGCCTCAGCCCCTTATAGTCTGGCTTCTGACCTTATCATTCCATTGAAATTGCTCTTTCCAGTTCCTGATGATCTCTTAGTTGCTAAGTCCAATGGCCTTTTCTCAATCCTCATTCTCTTTGACCTCTCTAAGCATTTGACACTGTTGATCACTCTCTCCTCCTTAATACTCTCTTCACTCAAGGTTTTCATGACACCATTCTCCTGGTTCTCCTCTCTGACCGCTCCTTTCCTCTGTCTCCTCTGCTGGATCCACCTCCAGATCACACCCTCTAACCATAGATGTCCTAGAGGGTTCTGTCCTGGGTCCTCTTCTCTTCTCCCTCTATACTGCTTCACTTAATGATCTCATCAGCTCCTATGGATTTAATTACCATCTCTATGCTGGTGATTCTCAAATCTACCTGTCCTACTCCAGTCTCTAATCTTGCATCTCCAATTGCCTTTCAGATATCTTGTACTGGATATCCAGTAGACATCTTAAACTCGGTATGTCCAAAATAGAACTCATTATCTTTCCCCCTAAAATCTCCTCACTGCCTACCTTTCCTATTATCATAGAGAGTAACACCATCCTCCCAGTCCCAGCCCTAGCTTCAGAGAGTGTGAGGAGAAGTTTCATAAAGAAGGTCTTGAGCTGGGTCTTGAAGGATGTCAGGGAACTCCAAGAGACAGAAGAATGAGGAGGGAGTGCATTCCAGGGATGGAGATCAGCCATTGCAAAGGCATAGAGAGGAGTGAGTAGGCCCCTCTCCTTCCCTTTTCCCTCTTTCCCCCCTCCTGTCTCTCTCTCCCATCTCTCTCTCTCTTCCTCCTCCTCCTCCCCCTTTCCCCTTTCTCCCTCCCCTCTCCCCCTCCCACTTTTCCCCTCCCCTTTCTCTCT